CTTTTATTGGTTCTTTTCCAGGACGTCTCCCACGATCACAAACCAAATCATTATTTGATTGTGCTGGGTCAAGCTCCATCTCGGTATTGTATGATTCCGAGTTAATAAGAGTTGAATCTTCTTGGTTTTCTACGGCATTCTCCATCATGTGCAGGGGCATACACGGCTCATGCCAAGGTTTGACCCAGACCATTCCGCGAGCTTCGTACTGATCCCCATAATGAGTTCCTTCGCCATTATTGGTAGGAAATTTCAAAGCATAATGAAAGATCGAGACAGCTGCACGAAGCTTATATAGAGCAGTCCTCTCAATGATGGCATTATATTGATTTTGAATATCCATCACCTTGAACGTTTCCATAATGACTTTGGAAGCTTGTCCAGGAATTCCGAACCGAATTGGCATAGTTATTTCACCAAGGGTTGATGTTATTGTTCCATTAAAGCCTTGTACTTGATCCTTGCAGGGTTTCAACTCGACTGGATCAATTCCCATTTCTTCGAATGTGCGCAGCATCATGATACTCGAATATGCTCCTGTGTCCACCAACATACGATGTATCGGTATACCGCAAATGGGTGCCGTGATGACTAGAGGATCAGCATGAGGGTGAGCGAAGTAACTAACATCATCCACAGTGAATGTTATGGGGCAATTATTTCGAGCATTAATTTTATCTCGGAGGTCGGTCGTCAAAACAGTTTTGCCCGAATTGAAAGCTTTTCGAGCATACGCTTTTATTTGCCTCCGGGATTCAAACGTTGCATTGCTACTGTTATTGACCCGGGTAACGTGATGAGAATTATCAGGATTATAGTATCCTCCTCGTTGGGTCATCGAATCACGTTCTTCTTGATGCATCATGTATATTTCTTTATCACTCGGCCTCATCCGTTTTGGATTAATTGGATGTCCCTCATCGTCGTCATCGTCTGGTAAATCAGGCATTCTTCCTTTTCATTTGTAATCAGCATTTTTAGCAAACTTTTGGACTTGAGGATGTCCAATGAGCCTCAATAAGGCAGAGAGTAAACCAAGACATTCGTCAGTATTATGACCAGCCGATTTGTGATATGAACAATATTTTGTTTTATCAAGACGATCTTCGGGAGTTCTTACAGGTCGAGGGTCAGGAAGGATCCCTTTCCCTTTTAATTCTTCAAATATAGTTGCTGCTCCCGCCGAGAATACCGTCTGGTAGCTAGATTTGATTTCATCAAGATATTTATTTCTTGCGTCTTGCACCTCTGGTATTCTGGGATTCCCGAATCGAGACTTATTCGGCTTGAAGAATTTATTTTTCTTCTTTTTGGACTCCCGACCGACGTCCGACTTTAAAGAAGAAAAGTCGATATTTGGAACCGACATTGACTCCTCGGCTAAAATGTGCTGTTGAGCCCGAGCTAGAAAGTCTTGAAATGAGGTCGGCTTATTCTGGCATATACTCCATCGGAACAACGAATTCGGCTTCAACCCGGCTATGGCCGTGACCAATAGCGTTTCAGGATGGCATTGTTCCATATTTTGTATGCGTTCGTTGAACCGAGCAATATAATCTTTTACACTTTCATCGTCTTTTTGTACAATATTTGCAATTGACTCTTTGGGGATTAAAGAGACTCGGGCTCCAATAAAATGAGACCGAAAAGCGGTTCTCAATTGATGCCAAGTGGTAATTGAATACCGAGATAGAGAATGATACTATTTTTGGGCTCGAGGTCCCAAAGTTAAGGAGAACATCCGACATCTTAATGCTTCATTTGCTCCATGAAGATCCATCCACGACGTATACTGACCGAGGTGAGCGTCGGGATCAGAAGTTCCATCATACAAGCCGATTTGTGGAACTTTTACTTTAGTTGGAATAGGCTCCCTAGTCAGATGAGGGGCTAAAGGGGTTCCAACCTCTTGATATATTTCTTCTGTCGTCGGAGTTCGTCGCGGTGATTCTCCATGTTCGTCTTGGCGAGTTTCGAGCTCAGCAATTCTCTTTCTCAACATTTCTAACTCTTCTGATTCACGTCTTTGACGATTCCTTTCAATTAAACGACGCAACTCATTTTGCCCGCGACGAGCATGGTTTTGCTCGAGAGTCTGTCGTAAATCAGAAGGTTGATCACGTCGTAAGATTTCTGGTAACGACGGAGTAGGTTGTCGTGGTCGATGTCCGGAATGACTTTCTGCGGTGGCTTCTGACCTCGCCGCTTCGGGAATTCGAGTTTGTACTGGAACTACTCCACGATTTTGAGTTGCAACATCATGTTGTGGATCATGTGTACGTGGATGAGACGTTGCATGTGACGCAGCAGGAATTTCGTTCCTTTGCGAAGCTGATATAGGATGAGTTCGTGGATTAATTGCTGCAGTTGGTTCTAGTCTTGTTCGTGCCATAAAATCAGTTAAATTCTTCAAGAACTCTGGATCTTGAAATAAAACTGAATAATCGATTGATGTAGATGGCACAGCAGAAGTTCCAGTCGTGTGAGTGGGGTGGCGATTAATTCCAGCATCTGGGTTACGTTCGTTTCGCCCAGAATTCGACATCCTTTTAGTATGTTGATACAAGACAAACAATCAAAGGGATAGGCCGCCCTCCTTCTAGCGCCAAACTGTTGTTGTCTTGAATTAACAACTCAAAATTAAACACAGTAGATGTCCAGAAAATAAAGATAAACGTTTTTATTTTATTTTATTCGTTATATTCACAAGAGTACAGGAGTCGGTTATATGTTGAAAACCGAGATCATTAGAAGTCCGTGTACAATGTGTTCGAAAAAGATCCTCGTACTATCATAAATTCTGCTATTTATAGTACGGTGGCTTTTGTCTTTTTGTTCGAAATGGATAAAGACGCATTTAATGTTGAGCTGCTTTACTTGAAGCGGTGGAAAACATCAATGATTGCCTTTTTGTTGTGTTGGTCCAATCAGATGCTTCTAATGATTACTTTCTGTTGGAATATTCAGACTTTACAGTAGTCGGTTGAACTGAAGTCGGTTTACTTGCATTGGCTTCGGATGTCGGTTCTTTTAAAGATCTTCGGAAGTCGGTAATTCTTCAGAAGTCGGTAACTATGTAGAAGTCGGTAATTTATTTTAATAAATACCGACTTTAAATAAGTTATTAACGTGATTAATCTCCGTCTTCAATTTTGTAATCAAGTCGGATATCAACAAATATTTATAAGTGTTTGCATAAAGTAGACGTTTTGCCGAATGAATTAAGAAGAATTTTGTAATACTATTAATGTACTAAGCTCCAACGAGTATGAATGCTTCTTACAAAAACGTCAAAACCAAAATAAAATAAAACCACTCTTGAATCATCTAATTAAATAAAAGAACTAATTCATCTATAATATACATTAGATCCTTATTTAGTTTTTTCGAAACGATAGAGGATTTATATATAAACGCACAAATGTGCAAAGATATAGCCAGGGGCTGAATAATACAACCGACGACTGAGAAAACTGGGAGGACAGGTCCGGAGACCGCCTAAATCCGAAAACTAGCAATGCTAGAATACTCGGCAACACACTAAAAACAAACACACAAAACAACAACAAAAAAACAACACAAGACCCCCACAGGGTAATTCCCGAGTGTCGGACCCCCACAGGATAATGAAAATGACACTCGGGTGCACAGAGGCCAACGGCCCAGACCTAAAATACAACGACAAACACAGATACGAGACAAACCAATCTACAGCAAAACCAAAAATGGAAAAACACAGCTAAATAGAAAGCCCTTCCACAGCAAGTCAGTCAGCTCGAACCAGCGGATAACAATCAATATCAGAGGATAATCCAAGTCCAGAGACGGCTCCCGAAACTGCCACGAGGCCTATACAAGAAGTCGTGCCCGAACCCAAACCACACTCCAAAACGACCCGCCTCAACCGGAAGGACAACCAAACACGCACCCACTCTAGCACCTCCCGAGCACGCCTAACACCACTAGCCGAGCTAAGGAGCACCAAAACCCCGCCGTCTAACACCACTAGCCGGAACCTCAGCTCCGATTCACCATCAGAGCCCCGCCCCACCTCACAACCCACAGACCCACCGTCACCACCGCAATAACATCTGCACCCGTACGAGAAGATCCCGAACGGGCCTTCGCCTAAAAAAGCAGAACTGCCCGAGCCCATCGATCGCTCTCAAAGACAGAGACAAGAACTAAAGCAAAATTAGAAGAGGGCTCACCTTCAACTAAGACCAACAGGCCAAACGACTCACAAATTGCAGTCCGATTGACGAGAGAAAAGCTCGCCTCCTCCAATCGCCGCCGCGATGATGAACTAGGGTTGGGGATCTACCTTCGCGAGCTTATCACGGCAATACCAGAGGTCCAGGGCATCGGAGGAGGGACGGCAGTCGGACGCGACCACCGGCCGGCGCCGCACTGCCGCCGAGGAAGGCGACGCGATGAGTTTCAGAGAGGCGCTTGGATGTCGGATTTTTAGAGAGAGACGCGATCCTTATTTAGTTACTTAGTGTTTTATGCCCATTAGGGGACTATATTTTTTTGGGATTATAATATGTTATTTTATTTTTTTATTAGAACATCATTATATTATTTAAAAAAAAATACATTACAAGCTTATTTGTTCTATATTTTATTCGTTTTTGCAGTGATTTGTTTAATAAATTAACTAATTTATTTTACTAAACTTAATAGTAAAAAAAGTATAATAAGATTACGGAGCGTGCGAAGCTACGACTTAGGTTCAGCGCATTATGAAATTATATATAAGGGTGATATAGGGTACGGTCATTAAAATTTTGCTTCAGTTGGGACCTATTCATTTCATGCATTCTATCACTAGAAGACTGCTTGGTAAGGCATTTGCTTGTACCACGAACAAAACACAACCCTATCCATTCCTGGTTAGTAAAGAACACGAATGAACACAGCAGATAACAAAAGAGTCTATTAAGTAATAATCATTAAACATGGTACTGATTTCCCCAGTCAGAAATAAAATATGTTGACATCACCATTATATACATATTCAATTGTCATCACATTGCACCTACATATTCCATCTTCAGCTCAAAATCGTCGAAAATCTTAAGTCTCAACACCACATTCAGTAAGAAGACTAAAGAACACGAACGAACACAGCAGATAACAAAAGGGTCTAATAAGTAATGATCATTAAAGATGGTTCTGGTTTCTCCAATCACAAATATAATATGTTGACATCACCATTATATACATATTCAATTGCCATCACATTGCACCTAAATATCTCATCTTCAGCTAAAAATCACCGAAAATCTTAAGAGTCTCAATACCACATTCAACAAGAAGACATCATTATTATCATCTCACCAATAACTCTCATGACCTAGCATGCTCAGTCGCTTTTCCATCCAGTCAATGATATCCCGAGCAATCTCTTCACGTTCGGGCTCAAAAAGAAGGTCGTGCAGAAAGCCTTCATAGAGTCTAATGTCCTTATACTTGGAAGGTGCTATATTGTACAAGTCCTGAGAGGCAATTGGATCAGTAACTCTATCAGCTGTCCCATGCAGGACAAAGAATGGTACTGTGATAGACTGGAAATTGCGCATTAGGTATGAAGAGATGCGTAGAATCTCATGTCCAGTACGAACTCTAATGGGCCCAGTGTAGACTAAAGGGTCCGAGTATTTGGCAAAAAGAGCTGCTGGGTCCCGGGAAACTGGAATTCCCCTTTTGTTGGCGCCTTTGAATTGGAACCTTGGAACCACCAAGGAGAATAGCGGTGCTACAGCCTATTGACAATGGTAGAAGAGAGTGTGATTGAATTGAATCCAGGGATACTCTTTAAAGAATTATTACACTTTTTTTTTGTTGGTTTTTTCCTGATCAAAATCTACCTCTGAGAGGCGGGTGATTTTAAGAAGCGTTCGTAACACATTTCTCAGGGAAGATAAAAGAGGCCCAATACGTAACAGAATAAATCACCCGATTCTGGTAGTGAGGGTCTTTCGAGAATTAACACAAAGCCAGGAAATCATAACTTACACCAACAATCGGATGCGCAGGCTTGACACGTAAAGCAGGTGACGTCAATATGATCCCCTCCAACATTTCTTCTATATGGGGATATGATGCAGCCTGTTAATGTTTATCCAGAATTTCAACAAAGTGAGGTTGATGGCAAGATGGGTATGATATACAATCAACTAATCACCTAGCAAAAAATGAATCCTATGCAAAAACGTACTTTCAAAACCACTGCCCCTCCAGTTGAATGACCAAACAAGAAGCACGGTACGCCTGGGTTGTCTAACTTCACCTTTTCCAAGAATGAAGCCTTCAAGAAGAATGAGTACCATTTAGACCACAAAACACATTCATATAAGATAACTAAGAAACATAGCAAAGAGAATCACACAACAAGATGTCATAGGCACCAAGAAACTTACAGTGTCTGCAACAACATGATCCAGTGAAGGAACATATCCGTGCAATCCATCACTTCCTCCATGGCCTATTTACGAAAACTTTTGTCACTAATAATATCAGCTTCATAACTTCAATTGTAGCATAAATTAAGACACACACATCCATAATTTCATTCCAGTTATTAACCGAATTGTAAATGAATTAGCAATGGACAAAGGATTACAGTTACAAATGGTACATCACTGTTCACCAATACAAGTATATGGCAAAACATCAGAACAATTATCTATTTTTAACCCCACAATCAACACAAATGTGACAGCACATATAAATATTAGGTGATATTAAACACTATGAAATGTAAGCGGTATTCCCTTGCATCTTTTCTCAATATTGAACACTGCTGAACAATACATTACCAAGGCAAAAATCAAAGAACAAAAATAAGCATTCTAGTTTTATAAAATCTCCGAAAAGAAAATTTCTTAAAGATGAGAAATCCATACAAGTTCTTACCTATCCAGTCCATTCCATAGACCCCAAATTCACAGGAGACCAACTGTTTAGCAAATTCAGCATAGCGTCCACTGAAAGCAAAGATCGGGAGAGGTTACGAACTATAGATTGTGGAAAGCGGTTTGGTTTAGTAAAGATAACAAAGAAAAAAAAGGATATGAAAACTAAATTCAACACCATACCTATGTTCGTTAAGTCCATGGATGATAATCAGAATACCCCTGAATTATATGAACTCTATGAGAAAGCAATAAATTTAGAAGAATAAAAAAATTGCTAAGTGTTATAAGTATTCCATTATTATGTCAGAAGTCAATCTTCTCAACCTCCTTTATGCCAAGAGAAAATATAACAAGCTTACAACACTTAACGCTCATGCAGAACATAAATATGTAGATAGTTAAGAGATAAACTCAATCCAGCACAAACATATACATACATTCAAGTGCAGTAAAAATCATATAATGGATCCACTGAAAATCAGCCCATACATGCATCAAGTACACAAACCAATGCAAGTAATGTTATGCGCATGCTTTTCGAAATTAACGAGTCCACTCAGTTGATTCAGGAATACTGCAGCAATGTCCTTGAAAATGGAAATTTCACCAACACAAAGAAATATATATGACTTTAACTAACATTAGGTTGTAAGTCCAAAACAAAATCTCAATTTTTTCAGTCACATGTAACTTTCATATTCTCAGCCATGCGCTATCCAAACTTCAATAAAGTAGAACTTTAAATATATAATGCTTGAATTGAGGTTTATTATTAGTTATTACTAGATCAATACTCTGTATATGATTTAGGTTATTTTTTAATTAACAATGGATCACAATCAGGTTAAGGTCAACACCAACGAATTAAGCAATTTGTGTACCGAGTGAAAATTAAGAAATTGAAAGACCAACATCATCTAATCTGAAGTCTACAATTACGTAAAGCATCAAACCACATAAATCGAAGAAAGCGTACTTGATTTCGCCGGAGACAGGAAACCACGATCGGCAAAAGAGAGCATTCCGCCTTACACCGTAAAACAAGAACGTAGTGCACTGGCTGCCGCTGACGCCGTCCACCACCATCTCAATCGCCTCCGCCAGGGCCCTGCGCCTCATGGTGTCCTCTTCGTCTCTCCGGATGACGAAATTCCGGCGCTTCACCGAAGGCGGCGCCGCTGTAGGGGACGAGGGAGGTGAGGCAGCAGCTGACGATAATCGGCGGCGGCGAGGGAGGACCAGCAGGATCCAGACGAAGAAGGAATAAATTAGAAGGAAAGTTCTACGGAAGGAGTCGTAGGAGAGGACTGACTGACGGATGTTCCGGAAAACCGGAATTATACGGCCACTCGCTCCGGATGTCAACTCCTCCACCTTCAACACCGCCGCCGCCGCCTCCATTTTTCCCGGCGTTCGGGGAACAGATAGCGCGTAGATCGTCGCTGTACAGATTATAGAGAGATGATTTTGGCGAGAGAGAAAAATTGAGATTGTAATTTGTAGCACGCGTTAGCGCGGATTCTAATGAAGAAAAATGAAAATGCGAAATTGCGTGCAGTTCTTTTTCTCCAGTGATTTGCAATTCGAATGTATAATCAAACCAACTGTGCTGTTACTAAGATAACGGGAGTAGCAACAATACCCAATTGGGATAAGGGCATTGCTTTCAGGAATAATTTCAACTAATACAACACCCATGCAGGTGGGGACGGTGCTTCATCTCGGACCGTTCATAGTCAATTCATAAAAATAGGATCGGTATTCGGACAAGTCAAATTCAGGACCGTCCCGGACCGCGCCCACCCCTACCATAAATAATTAATATATTTATAGATAATCCGAAACTAAATGTTTTTGGATTAGAAGTAAATTAAATCTATCCAACCCTAATAACGAAGCATGTAATTTTGCCACATAGGATCCCGAAGCATGCGATCCTGCCACATAGGCTCGGCACGTTCTGAATTAATATATAAGGGGGATTTGGTCTGTTTACTCGCCTAAAGTCTATTTTTGGTACACTAACTTACTCCATATCAAAAATAGTAAGTTATATTGCAATTTGTATCATTTTTGGAACATTACTCATAAAAAACATTACGTTATGTTGTAATTTGTATCATTTTTGGGACATTAATCCCAAAAAATAATGAACCATTTTTGGGATAATGTCCCAATATTGATACAAATTTCAACATAACTGTTGTTGTCTTGAATTAACAACTCAATATTGAATACAGCTGATGTGTTAAAACAGGGATAAGTATTAAATTTTATTGGATTTAAGGAAATCACAAGAGTACAGGAGTCGGTTATGTATTGAAAACCGAGATCATCATAAGTCCGTGTACAATGTGTTCAAAAAAGATCCTCGTACTATCATAAATTCTGTTATTTATAGTACGGTGGTTTTTGTCTTCTTGCTCGAAATGGATAAAGACGCATTTAATGTTGAGCTACTTCACTTTAAGCGGTGGGAAACATCAATGATTGTCAATGATTGCCTTTTCATTTTGCTGGTCCAATCAGATGCTTCCAATAATTACTTTCTGTTTGGATATTTGGATTTTGTGGTAGTCGGTTGAAATAGAAAAACTTGATTTATCTTCGTCATAATATTAGTCTGGAACTGAAGTCGGTTCATTTGCCCTTGCTTCTGATGTCGGTTCTTTTGAAGACCTCTTCAGAAGTCGGTAATTAATTCTAATATATACCGACTTGCAGTAAGTTCATCTTCTTGAGAGATTATTTCTTCAATAAAGTGATTAATCTCCATCTTCAATTCCCGCAATCAAGTCGGATATCAACAGTGAGGCCCCCGACATTAGTAGGTAGTTTGGAGCTTTCGTAAATAACTGCTGATATCGTTTGTTGTTCTACTTTATTCCGACTTGATTTATTTTGTTTACCGACATAAGAATACTTGGCTGTATTTGCAATTTCTTGTGTGGCACTGTGTCTGACATGGCGGCTCTCAAAAGATGTGTCCGCATTTAATGGGTCCAACGGATATAAATTTATAACGACATGGCGTTTCAGGACGTGTCCACGTGTACTAATAATTACTGTAACGTTATGCCGTTTTAAGACACGTCCGTTACACGCGCCGTTTCCGGATGTTTCCAACGGTTATAAATCAAAACCTATAAATTATAATCGGTTTCAACGTGCGGAAAGTTTCTGTACTTAAACTTCTTTGCTTTTTCTTGCGCTGTGATCTTCCCTTTGAATCTTTGTTTCGTACATTTGTTCTTTCTGTGATCTTTCCCTTCGAATCTTTTCTTCGTGCATTTTGTCGGTATTTTCTTCAATTCAGGGCTCTCGGAAATTTCGGTAAGAATTTTCCCTAATCTTTTCTGTTTTCTTGTTCTATTTCGAGTTTTTCTTCATTTTTATCGATTTTGGAAGAAAAAATGTCTGCGCGAACTGAGGATAGTAGTAGCCGGACGATTTCTGATATTCCGATCTTCACCGATGAGGATTTGGAATTGCCTCTGGAATATTATCGGTGGGATCCTCTTCTGGTGGAACGACTAAATCTCAATAAGGACACTTTTTAGGAGGACAAACGAGTTGAGGAGGACGCTATGTCGCTTCCTGATTATTGGAGACGTCCCGCTCGTCGATGGCCTGAATTAATTGATGAATACAGGGGGGAACCGAGTATTCTTACTGACGCCGACATCGTCATCCTCCGAGAAGAGGTTTATATTCCTTCGTCAGTAAAGTTATTCGCTCCTTACCCGGACGAAAGGATCACTTGTCCGCCACCGGGCTGTGTAGGCGTGTTTGCCGATTCGTTAAGATCGGGACTTCGGTTTCCCCTCCCTGCTTTAATCACAGATTATTTAAGGAATTGGGGAATTGGCCTATGCCAGATAGCGCCGAATTCGTGGAAGAGAATAATCGGTCTCATGGTGCTGTTGAAGGAAAAGGGTTGGGACATGCCAACCGTTGAGGAAATCAGAAATCTATATTCATTCAGGCGATGCGCTGATAGGCAAGTTGCAGATCCGCTGATTTGTTATGCCTGTGCGGGAAGACCTCAAGAAGGATTGAAGATCGGTGAACTGATAACCGACATTCCCGAGTCACTCCATGGATTTCAAGAGAAGTGGTTATGGGTTGGAGGAGATTGGCAAACTCCGAACTTTTCGAAACCTTTAATTGATGGGATGACAATTCCCATCAATATTAATTCTGCGATTTGTAAGTTTTTGGTTTTATTCCTTTCTACCGAGTTGCTCTGACCTTGCTTATTTTTTGTACTAACAGGTCTTATTATTTGCAGCCAAAAGCAAGGGATCAAAACTCAGTTCAACTTTGAAAGAAAGGATTACCGAGTTATTCAAGTTGAAAAAGGCACAGCGTAGCTTCAAGTTGATCCTGAAGAACACAAGGCTGAAAGCTGCTGGTCTTTGTCCCGAAATTTCTGACAGTTCATTCCAACCAGGTAAACTTGAGTAGAATTTTTGTCCTTATTGAAAGTCGGTTGTTTTCGAAATTAATAGTAACTCGGTTTTTTATTTGCAGTTTATTATCCGCTCATTGGGGTCCTTGGTTTCAAGACCATCCGAGACGCAAAAGCTTTTCGTCAAAAGAGTCCAAATTTGGACCTTCGAACCAAAGTCGGAAAAAGTAAAGAACTGCGTTTATCCGGAATGGGTTGCAAGAAGTTAGTGAAGGCTTATCTGGAGAACCCAATTATGAACCCTCCAAAAACCGATGTCGGTGATGGTGCGACGTCGGTGGCTGCTATCGAGATATCGCAGCCAGACCCTTTAGCTGTTGCTGCAGCAGGTCCCATGGTTGCTATTGCCGCTGCTGTTGCTAATGTTTCAGAAGTTGAGCCGGTTATCGGGGTCACTCCGACAGAGATTCCGTCTATTATCGAAGAAGAGGCGTGCTGAGGATGTTCCCGTTGCAGAGGAACGAACGAAGAAAAAGCACGATGTCGGTGATCGAGGAAAGAAGAAGAGAGAGCCTCTTGTGGATCGATCTTTCCTTCCTATTGACGAAGAAAGGTTCTTAAATTTCAGACAGCCTCGGGAATCGGTCGAGAAATGGTTCTCGACGTTTGAGTCAGTTGAGATTCCTGAAATTTCAAGCACAGTGGAACTTCCTGGGCATGTTGTTGATGCTGCTCGGGTCCCTATGATGGTATGGGATCCGAGGTCCGAGATTGGTGTCTCGTCTCTTCCGAGTGCTTACAAGTTTAAATATGCCAAGGCTTGTTTGGGTCGCGCACTTGTTAGCTTAGTGATGGCTGAAGACGAGTTTCGACTTAATGCAGCACAAGTGGACGAGAAAAAATACACCTTGGAGCTTAGAGATGGAGCTCTTGCATCTCTAAAAGAAGAAGCAACGGCCAAAGAGAAAGAATGGCAAGTCAAGATTAACGAGCAAGCCGAGCAGCTTATGATTGCTCAAAGTGAGATTGAAACGTTAAAGACGGATAAGGCTAGCTTGGATTCTGATGTATTAAAGCTGACGAGTCAAGTAATCACTTCCGAGCAACGTGTTAAAACGCTCGAGGAACAGCTGTCCCGGTGTGAAAGCCTCCTTCGTAAAGAACAAGAAGCTCACGAGGTGACTCGAAAAAGTCGGTCTGAAGTCGAGGATTTATTGAAGAAAGACCGAGATGATCATCTGGCTAAGCTCAGCAAACTTCAAGAAGAGAAGGTGAAGTTCGCCGAAGAAAAATACAATGACGGTCTCCGAGCTGGGAGGATTCTCGAGGCGGAGGCCAACAGACTTAAGACTAAAGCCGACTCCGACTCTGAGGACGAAGACCGTGAGTTCGAAATGAATACTTGTCTTAATCTGCGCTGGATGATTGAGCGTTTTGATGACGGTCTGTACGATATCGAAGTAATCCGCCAATTCCTTCTTCACAAAATTAAAAGTCATAACTTCAATCCCGTCATTGCAACAACTCATATTGAAGCCGATGAGGACGAGAAGAGTTTCTGTGAGGGTCTTCTTGCTTCCATTGGAGCTGAAGCAAATTCTGAGACTTCTGAATCGGTCCGAGAAAGGGAAGCTCGTCTACGTCGTGCTTTTGTTAATATGGTGCTCGAGGGTGAGAAGGAGAAGAAGTCAGAGCTCGCCAATGTTTATGTGAAGACTTTGGCCGAGGTGAATATAGAAGAAGAAATTGAGAAGATGACTCCGGAGCAACTGCGCAAGGCTGTGATAGCCTATTTGGAACGGAAAGTTGCCGAGTTATCTCAAAAGGTTGATGAGCCAGTTACTGCCGAGATGCCTGGAGTTGGCGAAGATAATGTCGTTTTAGACAAACATATCCCGGTGACTCTTACCGAAGTTGAAAAGGCTGCAAAGGCTGAGGAGGATCGAGTCTTCGACATCATCAGCCGTATTATGTACGAGCAAATTATCAAGAATGATGTAGAAGAAGCAGCCAAAGATAAAGATGATGTTGCTGTTGCCAAGACGGTTGATGATCCAGCAAAGTCGACTTAGTTGTTTATTATGTTTATGTGTTTTTATTTCGTGAGTTGTGTCCTCGGTATGTCGAGACACAATATTTCCATTGTAATGAATAATTTTATTTAATATGAATGAAAAT